TGGTTCTTTCTTCCAAGATATATTGCTGTTGTGGTGCAAGTAGGAATGAAAGTAGCAAATTAGAATCAGGTAATTCTGAAACATTTAACTTTCAAAGAAAGGGCTCTTTCTAGAATTAGTGGCAGTTATAAGAATCACTCCATCAAACTTGGAAGTCATGACAACCTTTATGTCACCCAAGAAAACCCTGTTGGCATTTTTGCACAACATGCCAAACCAAATTTTGTGCTATAAAAAAGATCATGTCAAAACCAAGCAAAACACTTTATGTCATCATGCTCAGTGAATCAGACTATCAGATTAAATGATACTATGTTTTCATTTATTTATGAGTACCATCATTGCCATTTTGGTTGATGCATCATAGTCCAGGCAGCACCAACTGCATGAGTCAGAATAACAGCAAAAAGAACTCAAACAAATATTTTACACTGTTGTATTGCAAATTCTGAAGCCCTAAGATTGTCTGACACAAATATTTAATAGCTGCTATTTGATGTCACACATGCTCTTTTTTCCTGCTTCACTGCAGGTAGCCCTGGATTAAAGGTTTACTGTATAGTATGAAGAAAATCTATGAGTTTGCTGCAATATCAATTCAGTCCTTCCCTTACATATTGTAGTTTTCCAAAGCCTGAAGAGATGTGGTGTTTTAGCTGCTTTTTAGTTCCCAGCTGCCAGCATTCTGTGAATGAACAGCCAATATTTATTTCACTGGCCTATAAAATGCAATCTTTCAAATAAGGCATATAGAATTATCAGAAGACAATAGAGTTAAATTCTGTTAAGGGCCATATCCAAGTGTAACTATTTCCAGTTCCCAGGAAACAAGTCAATTCATAATAATAAACATACATAAACAAAACAGATTAGATATCACATTAAATCATAATAAGAGAATAACACACACACTCGTGCCCACACTTAGAGAATAACAAGTTGCTAAAATTAGTGGCAAAACACTGATTTGGAGTGAGAAGTGTGACCAAATGTTTCAAAGCTTTGAATTGTATGTTCCGGGGGAAAGAGTCTTTGATATAGATCTATATCCAAAGTTATCAAGTTGCCCAGCAAAGGCTTATTGGCTGATATGGGAAAATTCATATTCATAGTGTGTTGTTGCTCAACACAATTAATCACCAGTAGCTTTTCTTGGTTGGCATCTTCTGAACCACACTGAGGAAATCCCACAGCTGTGGGCTAGACTGGGAAATCAGAAAAACAAGCATGCTGGCAAACTGCTTCCAATTTGTTTCTAATGAAAGCTGATAATCTCCATTTAAACACCAGATTTTGAGTTTGACTAGGAAGAAGACCTTGACCTTAAAACAATATTGTACTTAACAAATCTTTAAAACAAATGGGTCAAATGCAGTAAGAAAGAAAAAGTCTTTAGATCTTAATGCTGCATGCTAATTTTCACAATCCAACATATCCCACTTCTCAAAATGGTTCAAATTTCAGAGAAAGCACATACAGCATAAATGTGCTATTTATGGTCCCTTTTTCAAACTGTCAAACAATAAGATAAGATAAGGTAAGGTAAGGATAAAGTTTAAGGTAAGGTAAGGTAAGGTAAGGTAAGGTAAGATAAGATAAGATAAGATAAGATAAGATAAGATAAGATAAGATAAGATAAGATAAGCCTTTATTGTCATTTTTTTACTGTGGGCACAACGACACACATCAAAAATGAAATTTAGTTGCCCGCTCTCAAAGTGAAACACGTACATGACACACACCTAAACATACTATGAACATATATATATAGAGAGAGACCCATACCCCTACATATACGTAGCAAATCAATATTAAATACTGTCCATCTTGAATATATAACGGAAGGAGAAAGCTTGAGAATTCACAAGGTTAATGTTGTATGGAATAAAACTATGGCTGAATCTGGATGTTCTGCTTCGGATACCACGAAGCCTCCTCCCAGAAGGTAACAAGGAAAACAGGTCATAAAGAGGATGTGTAGTGTCCCAGAGAATCTTACGGACCCTGCTCAAGCAACGCTTCGGTGCTATGTCCTGGATGGGAGGGAGGGAGCTGCCAATGATCTTTTCGGCCATTCTCAATAGAAAGAGTCACATGAATAAATGCAGCAAGTAAAAAAATGGATATTCTTAGAATATATTTTTTTTTAAAAAACTGAGTCATTGATATCATTATTGCACTTAAGCAACCATTTGTCGTACACCACTGTGTACTGTTCTGGCTTGGTGGTGTATCTTTCCCCAGGACATCTGTAATTACTTTATGAAATCTGGATGTCCATTACAGTCTTACTTGGTGTATCTTAGTGAACCATGCATTAGGAACAAGAAGATGGTGCGTGACTTCTATGTTCTCCTGAATTTTGCACAGATACACTGTATTAGTAACTAAATAAAGTTAGGTTGATTGGGAGAAGTGCAAGGGGTTTAGAGGAGTACAAACATGATGCCTATCTAGGCGGTTCAGATACTGTTGGAGGTCCAAATATAATGGCCCTGACTCTTCAGCACCTCATGCCATATTAACCACAAAGTGGGAGTAGGATGTAAGAGACTTGAGGATTTACTCAGTGGCTTTCTTTGTCTATTATCTGCCTGCTGTTTGTCTAAGAGATTGGTAATCTAAAATCAGTTCATTCTACTGGACTTTTCAGGAAATATGCAAAGAATATGTGCTTTTAGACAATCCTTTTGGTTGGTTGCAGGTAACTTGTTAATTTCTACAATTCTGTATTTATTGGTATTTCTATATTTCTTGGTATTTCCATAAAAGAATCTCATTTCTGTTATCATAACATTTGCTTCTCCAATCCTTCTTTGACAAAATCACAACTTACTAAACTATTGGTCATGGTTTACAATGGCTGGGTTTATACAATATGCCAAATCAAAACCACATTTTATAAGGGTGGAAAAACTTGGAAAATGTATGTATGGAAAATGATAATGTCTAGACTGCCCCTAAAATTAGCTGTAAGAGACAGAGATCACAAAAGAAAACCTTGTCTGGAAACATTCTAGATGCAAGTTAGCTAGCTATTGATTTGTTTAAAGATATTTGAGGCTGGACCTCTAAAGAAACAAAGATATGCCATAACTTCTCTTTATTTGTAGGTGTACTATTTCTTCATATTTCTTTTCTTTCCCCAAACAGCAAGTACTGTAAACCAATTGAAAGACAGAGTATGGTAACTGCACCATCAGCAGTTTCAATGCTGCCAAGCATAAACCAGAGAGGATTCAGAAGAATGAATAAAATATGCATTAGGCTGAGAAAGAACAGGACACATGCAGAGACAAAAAAGCAAATACATCCTACATGTAATCAGAAAATAGATAATGAACATCCAAGTTCACTGAAAAGTGAGCAAGTTTAATCTGGCATTTTAATAAAAAAACATTTTTCTTTTAAAGAAAAGAATTATTTTACTTTTGTTTAGGCAGTTGCTCATAAGACAATATCCTTTACTGAGCATTCTCTTCTATTGACCATATTCTCTTATTCTTTGTTAAATGCAGTTAAAAAGTATGCATGCTGTCTTGGCCAAATTCTTTTTAGGGATTATATTGTATTATTCTTTTTCAAGGCAATTATGCCAGCCTACATAAATAATTGGGTGGAATATTGTAAACCAATATTGTAAAGATCCTTTTAACACACACTTACACAAATTTATTATGATATTGTACTAAAATCATGCTATTAAAACAACAAATTTAAATATCTGTGCTTTTAGTTCTTAAGAGCAAAGCAAAATTCAAAAATAAGACATTTTTATTAATAGAATCAGAAACATATTATTGTTCAAACATTATTTATTAAATGCTTGTTCTTTCTTTTCAGATGTCTGTGGAGATTCTCAGTCATCCACGTCATAGTTTACAATGTCTTGGTAAGGCCACACTTAGAATACTGCATCCAGTTTTGGTCACCACGATGTAAAAATGATGCTGAGACTCCAGAAAGAGTACAGAGAAGAGCAACAAAGATGATTAGGGGACTGGAGGCTAAAACATATAAGGAACGGTTGCTGGAATTGGATATATGTCTAGTTTAACAAAGAGAAGGACGAAGGGGGACATGATAGCAGTGTTCCAATATCTCAGAGACTGCCACAAAGAAGAGGGAGTCAAGCTATTCTCCAAAGCGCCTGAAGGCAGGACAAGAAGCAATGGATGGAAACTAATCAAGGAGAGAAGCAACCTAGAACTAAGGAGAAACTTCCTGACAGTTAGAACAATTAACCAGTGGAACCTGCTTCCAGAAGCGGTGAATGCTCCAACACTGGAAGTTTTCAAGAAGAGACTGGATATCCATTTGTCCAAAATGGTGTAGGGTTTCGTGCCTGAGCAGAGGGTGGGACTTGATGACCTCCAAGGTCCCTTCCAACTTTATTATTATTATATTATTATAGTTATCCCAAAGATGCTTTTTTTCATGAGGCAACTGGACTTTCTTGTTTTTCTTTGAAGACATTTTTCTTTTCATCCAAGAAGCTTCTTCAGCTCTGACTGGATGGTGGAGAATAGAAAGATTTATACTCCTGGCAGACAGCAGTTCATTTGCATTCTTTTAGCAAGTCGTTGATGCTACCTGGAGGCTTACTGTGTCCTCAGAATCACCTGAGTGGTGCAAATGTGTGTGGAGCCTTCTTGGAACTGTTGAAAAGACTGTATTGAAGACTGGCAATAGATGATGTCGTATCCCTCCCTCTCTGCTGAGAGAGGGCTGTTCAATTTTGACATAGATGGCCTCTTTGAACCCTCTTTCAAACCAGCGGTCCTCTGTCCAAAATGTGTCCTTTGCCTTTTAAATGCAGATGGATTGCTGAATCTGATTCTGATGGGTTTGTTCTTCTATGTTGTGCCATATGTTTATGAAGTTGTTATTTCATTTCCCCAAAGTACAGATCTCACTGGTATAGGTATGTGGATGATTCTTGGGTCAAAATCAAAACACAGGAATTGGAAGCATTCACCAATTCACTGGTCTCTCATTACTTCATCTGGCGCCTGAATAGGGATCTGCCCTCATTTCCTCCCCCCATGGGGAGCAACAGCCAACATACTTACCATCGTCTGGAACAGACCCCTAGGTGCACCTTCATCCTCTGGCACCCCTCAGTGGTAAGTATGGGTTGCAATCTATCTCAGCACCAGCATAAACATGTACAGGAACTCCAATTCCTGTTACATAAATCAGGTGTGACAGCGCCTGAGGCGGATATAAGAAATCTGGTGCAGGAGGTAGGGAAACATTGCCCCTGGTATCCTGAGCGCGGAACACTCCATTTACAGGATTGGGCATATTTTACATCTTGAACCCCAGGCTCCAGTACAGATATTACATCGATGGTATCAGTGCCGTCAAGCAATGGAAAAATTTGGCTCTGATGCTTTGGCAGGGCAACAATTAACTACAAGCCCCCCGCCTGATTATGACCAGATAAAAATTGTCACTTCAAAAGGATCTCCAAGTAGATCTTCAGCTCCTTCTGAAGAGGCTAATTCTTTTGCTTCCTTACGGCCATCGTACACCCCCATAAGGAAAATATTAGAAGAACAATTAGAAAAAAAGGGGGGGGAATATAGAAGAAATTGCTGATATGCTTTCTGTTTGTCCAGTACACGCCACGGAACAAGTAAATCAGAATGGAGCTCAAATAGTGGAATATCGCCCTTTGTCCTATGCAATTTTAATAGAACTTAGAAAAGGAATTAGAGATATGGGGTTGGGGAATATTTATGTGCAGGGAATGCTGGAAGCCACTATGAGAAATCATATCTTAGTGCCAGAAGATTGGAAAACTACCTTTTGTATGTTGCTTACTCCAGCACAATATGTAGTTTGGGACAGCAAGTTGGGACATCAATGTGCTGTACGTGCTCTTAACTTGGGGGGGGGGGGAGTCATTATTCCTGATCAATTGTATGGTTCTGGTCCCTTTGCCCCAGTTGATGCACAGGTTGTTCTACTGGCTGCCACTTTACAGATTTCTTCTGAATGTGCCTATAGACCCTTCGGAAAAGTGCCTGTTTCTGGCAAGCCTCATCAAGCCTTCTCTAATATCAGCCGTATCCTGATTTTATTAATAGACTACAGGATGCTTTACGGCGGCAGATAGATAATCCTGAAGCTCAGCAAGAGTGGCTGATGAGGCTGGCAAAAGACAACACCACTTCTGAATGTTGAAGGGCAATTATTGGTCTGGGGAAAGATCCTGATTTGGCAGATATGATTAGAGCGTGTCAAGATATAGGAACAGCCTCTTACCAAACCAATTTATTGGCAGCTGCTTTGTCACAAAGCAGCAAGCCTCAAGGCAAATGTTACAACTGTGGCAAACCCAGTCATTTTAAAAGGGAATGTAGAAATCCAGGGGGGGAATGTCTGCAGCAGCTCACTCCCTTTTCCATCGGGGAGCAAAACCAAAAACAAAATGCCCAAAGTGTCAGAAAGGTTATCATTGGGCAAATGAGTGTCGGTCGAGAAACTGCCGACTGGGCTGGTCTCCGGCCCCAGTCCAAACAGAGACAACAGACCAACAATAGGAAATACTCCTGCAGCTACAAAAAGTAGTTGATTTGATACTGCAGGAGGAAGTTAAATTTAAATTTCCTGGGGAGGTTCAAGTAGTTCCATCTCAATTATCAGGCCCCCTGCCACAAAATTATGTAGAGCTTGTCTTTCCACGGTCAAGCATGGGTAAAAAAGGTATTTTTGTTATTCCTGGGGTGATAGATTCGGACTATACTGGAATTATTTATGTTCAATTGTGGACCAATTTGCCTCAATTTTTGCCCATTTACACTAGCCCTGCTCAGCTCTTGCATTTGCCTTATTTTGTCCTGGCAGGGGGAGAATTCAAGGAGAGAGGGGAAGGAGGCTTCAGTTCTACTAACCCGGCCACTTCTGTTATAGCTGCCATCACTACCCCGATCACATTTCAATGGCTCCATCAGATCATTGTGCTGCAGGGTAAGCCCTTTGAGGGAATTTTGGACACTGGAGTGGATGTTTCAGTGATCTCTGCCAAGCAGTGGCCTGATGCCTGGCCAATTGAGTCCTGTCTAAGTGTGTGGGGTGGGGGGGTCGTCAAAGTGCATGTCAAAGTGCACGATTTCTTTCAGCCCATTTGACTAACTCAGATTTGGTTATTCAGGTCCACCCCTTTATATTAGATATTCATGTCAGCCTGTGGGGACATGACCTACTTAGTAAATTGGGTGCCACCCTCACTTTGGAAGACTGAGATTACTGCCCTCCCTTTGACTTGGCTGGTTAAAGAGCTGGTGTGGATTGATCAATGGCCCATGTCACATGAAAAATTGATGGCTCTCCACCAGACTGGTTAACGATCAGCTGCTTGCTGGTCATGTTGTGCCTTCCACTAGTCCATGGAATACCCGTTTTTGTCATAAAAAGTGGCAGGTGGCACTTCTTGCATGACCTTAGGGCCATTAATGCTTGTATTCAACCTATGGGTCCTTTGCAGTGCTGGACGCCTAACCCTAATTTGATTCCTCAAGTTCATGAAGTAATGGTAATTGACTTAAAGGATTGTTTTTTCTCTATTCCTCTATGCCCCCCTGATCAGGAAAAGTTTGCATTTACTGTGCCTGCAGTGAATCATTCAGAACCTAAGAAATGTTATCACTGGACAATTTTGCCACAGGGAATGCTGAACAGTCCCACATTATGTCGTCTTTATGTCGCTGCAGCATTAGCTCCTTTTCGTAAACGTCATCCATTGGCTTTGGTATATCATTATATGGACGATATTTTAATTGGAGCCCCAAAGATACAACCTAATTGGCTTTCCGAAATACAAAATGATTTAGGTATTTATGGATGCAGGTTGCCCTGGAAAAAATACAGCTGCACTCTCCTTATCTTTATTTAGCACATAAAATGTTGCAATCTTATTCTGCTCCAGCTTTTCCTCGCTTGAGCTTACCCAAAGTTATTTCGTTGGTCAATTTACAGCAATTTCTGGGTACCCTCAATTGGGTCCACCCATATTTTTCTTTCTCTACACATTTACTTAACGAAGAGAAGGACAAGGGGGGACATGATAGCAGTATTCCAATATCTCAGGGGCTGCCATAAAGAAGAGGGAATTAAGCTATTTTCCAAAGCACCTGAAGGCAGGACAAGAAGCAACGGGTGGAAACTAATCAAGGAGAGAAGCAACCTAGAACTAAGGAGAAACTTCCTGACAGTGAGAACAATTAATCAGTGGAACAGCCTGCCTCCCGAAGCAGTAAATGCTCCAACACTGGAAGTTTTTAAGAAGAGACTGGACAGCTATTTGTCTGAAATGATGTAGGGTTTCCTGCCTGAGCAGGGGGTTGGACTAGATGACCTCCAAGGTCCCTTCCAACTTTACTACTACTACTACTACTACTACTACTACTACTACTACTACTACTATTATTATTACTTAGTCCATTATTTGATTTATTGACCAAAGGAAAACAACCTGGAGATCTCATTTTAGTTCCACCTGTAGCACTTGCCATAGTGGAGCAAATTAACGGCATTTGAGTACTCAATTTGTGGACCGAATTCCACATAAAAATTGTCAGTTAACCCTTTTGATATTTCCTATTAGTAAGCTACCTACAGGAGTATTAGCTGTATTAGAAGCGCAAAAAGTATATTGTATTGAATTGCTTTATTTACCCCATACCCCATCCCAAAATGTTCTACCATTTATCCAGGCAGTTGCTGAAATAATAATCTTAGGACACACTCGAGCTTGCCATCGAAATGGGACCGATTTAATTAATATTGTTCTTCCTCTCCCAAAATCTGATTTTCAATTTTATTTTCAGAATAACTTATCTCTTCAGTGTGCTATAACTGACTATGTAGGCTGTATTTCATATCATTTGCCTAAAGATCCTTGGTTTGCTTGTTTAATGACTTCTTCCTTTCCTGTCCACCCACTGCTTTCTCCTTCTCCATTGTCGCAAGCTCCTACCGTTTTTTCTGATGGAGGGCGAACGAGAGGAGCAATTGCTTATAAGGATCCTCATGATGATACCTAGAAAGTGTCCTACACTGCAGTGCAATCTTCATCACAATGCTGAGAATTATGTGCTGCTATGCTAGCTTTCCACACCTTTTCTCAACAACCTTTTAATTTAATCTCTGACTCTCATTATGTGTGTCAACTTATTTTTAATCTTCCAGGTGCTTATATTACGCCTAGGATTTTTTTTATTAAAAGTTTTATAAATTTATTACAATATAAACCCCCCACCCCATCCCCCCATCCCAGAGCTGATTACAGGGTAAAACAAACTAATAAACAAATGTAATCCAACTAACATAAACCAACTATACTATTAATCAAAACCATAAGACACTTTAACTCCTTTTCAATACAAATATTAACAAATTAAGTCAAAAATAATAATATAATTAAAACTATTAATAATTATCTAAAATCTACTCAAAAGCAAGATAATACTTTTCAACTTCATATTTCTTCTGAATATAATCAATGCATCTTCTCCAAACCATAATATATCTTTCTTCTGAATGGTCCTTCAAGTAGGCTGAGATCTTCGCCATATCTGCTAAATTAGACACTTTAAGTATCCATTCTTCCAAAGTAGGCAACAAATTTTTCTTCCAATATTGCCCCACCAATAATCTTGCAGCTGTTATAAGATTCAACATCAAATTAGTTTCTTTAACATCAAAATCTACAGTAATACCCAACAAAAATAATTGTATTACGCCTAGGATTGACCCCAATCTCATGGCTTTGTTTTTAACTTTACAGCAGCTGCTACAATATCGGAAGCATTTATATTTTATTTCTCATATATGCAGTCACTCATCTTTTCCTGGGCCTCTTTCTGAAGGAATAATCGTGCTGATGCTGCGGTTTATGTTTTCCCCACTCTATTTTCTGACCCTTTTTTCAGTCACTCTTTTTTCATCAAAATGCTAGGGGGCTGGCACAAGCTTGCCATATTCCACTCGATCAAGCCAAGCAGATTGTTTTATCTTGTCCCCAATGTTCTGGGGTATCCCCCTCAGGGGACACGGGAGTTAATCCCCATGGTTTTACCTCTAATCAACTATGGCAAATGGATGTTACTCATGTTCCCTCTTTGGCTCCCTGGAAGTATATTCATTTATCTATTGATACCTATTCAGGAGCAATTTGGGCCACGCCTCAACGAGGGGAAACAGCTAATCATGTTATTTCTCATCTTTTTTCGGCCATTACAGCCTTGAGCAAGCCCTCTTCCTTAAAAACTGATAACGGGCCAGCCTATTGTTCAGTGGCCTTTTTGCAATTTTGTACAACCTGGAATATTGTTCTTACTCATGGTCTCCCCTATAATTCCACGGGTCAAGCCATCGTGGAATGTGTTAATCGGTCCTTTAAGGACTGCCTCCACAAACAAATAAAAAAGGAGGGCTCTAGGGTACCCAATTTGTCATGGGTAACACAACAGGTTCAAAAAGTATTATTTACATTAAACCAATTGAATGTTTCCATTCAAAATTCCACCGCTTAGCAGAGACATTTTCAACAGAAAACAAGCTTGCCTCCCCCTCTGGTATATTATCAGGCATTACCAGATAAAACATGGTTGGGATCGGTCCCTCTGATTACTTGGAGGTGGGGCTATGCTGCTGTGCTTGCTCTTACAGGACCTTTGTGGATTCCAGCACATTGCATTCACCCAGCCAAGGATGTCGTGGCATCAGTCCCTGGATCCAGTCCCAAAAATGGCACAGACGGCACAGCGACCAATCCGATCCTGTCGTGCCAGTCGGCCAGTGACGTGTGGAGATGTGAAGAACTTGACCGCCAAACCACAGGCAGTGCTGCAGCAGCATCAAGTAGAGCAAACCCCCGAGAACCTATGTGCTGCCATTTTTGCGGTTTTAACTACAAATTCCTTAGCCATCATTTGTTTCTGTTTGTTTGTTAACAGCTGCCCTTTGGCAGCAGCAGCTGCCATCCCACCCAAACAAGCACTCGAGCAACGAATAAAGCAAAACTTATGGGTGCAGCTAGCTAACATCACACAAAATGATGTCTTTTGCTTATCTGAAGCATATGATATGGAAAATTTGCTTTCTACATGTTTAGTCCCTGTTTGCACCCCTTCTGCAGTAATTCAAAACTTCACTGGCTTGGGTGGATTTCTATTAAATGGGAACTTTAATTATGGGATTATATCTAATTGGGGGTTCGCTGCTTATTATCTACCCCGATGCTATTGCTTTGCACACCCCGGTAGTAGCAATTCCTGTAAATGTAAAGTAGTTGATTGTACTTCTTCAAGTAAAAAAACCTCACTGTCTTCGTATTAACTCACCTACTTTAAACTGCACAGCTTTTGAAAAGACTTCCTTTAATTTTGTCCATGTTTGGCTACCACAAGGATGGTTTTTTACATGTGGTCAAGAAACTTTTAATTATATTCCTGCTAATATTAGTGAAGCGCAGTGCTGCCTCAGCTGGCTGATTTCTGTTTTGCTTTCCAAACAACAATTTCACTCAAACCGTTCTCGACGTGGGGTCACTCTAGATAGCACTTGTGACTCTGAGACAGCCTTACTTAATAAAGCAGAATATGTAGCGCTGGCTGTGTCTCTAGTGGGTATGCCAGGACTTGCTGTTCGCGCTCACCTTAACATTAACTCTGTTGCGTGTAATTTAGCAAAAATAATTAATGCTACTTCTTCAGCTATTTTAGCAATTAACCATGAGCTGCAAGATTTGAGAAAGGCTATCTTGCAAAATCGCGTTGCTATTGATTATTTGCTTCTGCGCCAGCATTTGGGTTGTGAAAGTTTTGAAGGAATGTGTTGTTTTAAAATTTCAGATGAGTCACGAACCATCCAGCACCATATCAATATTTTACACAATTTGGCCTCTGATTTGAAAATTGATACTTTAGGATCTTGGTGGGAAAGCCTTTGGGCTTGGTTGCCCACAGGATTATTGGGAAATGTCCTACATTATTTCATCATTATATGTGCTATTTTGATTAGTGGGTGCTGCTTTGTTCAGTGTATTCCTTCCTTTTTCAACATATGTATCACAGCTTTTTGCCTCAAAACCTCTCCCACATTGCCTCAGGGTCAAGATTTTGCCCTATATAAACAACTGCAAGGATGTTCCTCTCCTGATTATGATTCTTTTACTAACCCCGCTTACGATGATGTTTCGTCTAAAAAAACAAAAGAGTGAGATGTAGGGATAGAGGTCATGTAGAGTTCATGTGCAGCATACTGCCTCGGCTCAAATACATGATCTCACCCCGTTCATATTGCCATGGTGATGTAGGAAACTACCTCTGGCAGGTACATGATCTCACCTCATTCACATGATCTCATCTGGTTCACACCAGCAGGATGTTGCAGAAATCTGCCCCTTCCTGGTGCCCCTGGCTGACATATTCTTAAGGATTGACAAGGAGAATCCACCAATAAAATGCTGTTGCTATCCTGTTTCTATGTTACCTTTTGCTGCTTGGAATAACTGTATAAAAAGCAATAAACACTGTGAAGAGCAGTCAGACATCCTTGCACCCTGCCATGATTGGTCTCTAATTACTTCAAACTATGAGTTAGTATGTTCTAGCAACATAACCAATGGAGAATTCATTTTGAATTTACTCATGGTTAGCTATTGGTTTTGGGTAGGATTGCTAGATTTCTTTGCTTCAGAATCCTTTGTTAAGTCCATGACAAATCAGATCTAAAGCTTCTGTTTTCTCTAAATCATTTTGAATTCAAACCACATCTGATTGATTTGAACTGAAACTGATTATTTTTTACATCACTGAATTGAGGCCCAAACCAAATCTTGTGATCATCATCACATCCATATTATAGATTCTTTCAACTATTCCATACTGTGATTCTATGTACTAGACTCTTACATGGGGCTGGAGGTTGGACTACATGACTCCATGGACCCGTGGATCTCTTCCATTCCATTCTATTCTGATTCTGATTTTTATTTTCTATTTATTTTAAAACATTTAAGAAATAAATGAAGGACTACATTAAAAAACAAAAAGAAAAAAACATACTGGATGGAAAGTAAAATATCAGTGAATAAACAAAATGAACAATTGTCATAAAATTTAAAATCCATTATTCTTTTGATTATAGCTGAATATTTAAACTAGGTTCATATAATCATCAGGAGTAATTGTAAGCCACTACAAAACTTTCAGTTTATATTGATGTTATCACTATTTATTATTATTTAAAATAAATGCACATGATTTTATGGGGAAAAACAAAAAATAACATAAGAAACAATATTTTTCTCCCATTCCACCTACTGGTGCTCATATCAAATTATTTATAAATGTTAAAATTGTTTCTAATTACTATATTTCCATCTAAGATTTCCTCTTTAAAAAGTTTGCCTTTTTATATGGCATATAATAAAAAGGGAAATGATTCTTGCTTAAATTTACTCAAACTTCTATTCTGGATATATACCGTTACTTTTTGCAATTGCTCCGTATTCCTCAAGTTACATTTCCAAGTATCTATTTTCTATTGTTGAGCCACTCTATTATGATTGTAATAATTCCTGGCTGAGTTACACTACTTTAAAGTTGCCTATAGGGCAGGGGTGTCAAACTCCCGGCCCGCAGGCCGGATACATCAAAAGGAAACCACGCCCACCCTATTGCCAGCAATGGGAAAAAAGTCACAATATGTCATGACACGTCATGTGACATTGTGGGTTTGACACCCCTGCTCTAGGGCCTCATATTTTCTTACCTCTTCAAACTATTTTTTCTTTCCCTACATCACTGTTTCCAAAAGTTGTTTATTCAAGCTAAGAAAGGAACGCTGCAGTTGAAATTGTCAAGATACACATTAGTTGAACATATTCTCTTTAGATTTTATGAATGAAAGTCTTGTCTCAAAATATTAACTATTTCAGTTTCAAATCAAGGGCTCCAGAGATAAAATGCCCAAAGCTAGATGATCTTTATTAACAAGTATTAGTAGCTGGGGACACAAAGGAGCAGAAGATTTGGATAGGACATGATGATTGATAAAGCTGATTAGTTCTTGTTGGATTGCACTTTAATGATATAATATGTAAAATATATCTTAATCCTGAGACTGCCTTGTGCAATGAGTATCTCAAACTAAAAAAAAATCCTGTAAACAAACAGGTTAATGGTTACAATAAAAGAACAGGAGATAAAGGAGAAAATTAGAAGGAATCCATATAAGATCGATCACATGTTCCCTGCCAAATGCAAAGCTTCCTATTGTTCAAGGCTTTTGGGATGCTGTACACTACCCAGAATTGTTTTTTGTGGATAGATGGCTATACAAATTTGATAAATAAGTAAATGTTTAAGTGCATGTTTTAATATAAAGAACAATTCTTTTCAGCATTCAATCATAAAGAAGTAGATTTATTCCTAGGCCTGTTACCAATATTTCCATGAATTTCTTGTCTGAGATACAGACAGTTAATCTCAACAGAAAGTCCCTTCCATCTCTACAATTATGTGATTCTATGTAAAATGATAATATGGTTTAGGGATCCTTCCAATATCACCTAACAAATGGACACTAGAGCAATATGAATTTTTGTTATCCCTGCCTCATAATGTCAGATTTATTATTTAATATATGGTGATGTTACAATTAGCCAAGAGTCTACAACGTTAGTACATAATAGTTATTTGGCTGCTGTCCCACTCTGTTTAGTTCACATTGATCCACTTATACATAGTGCACTACTTGGGCGAACTAACTCCACACCAGAAAGACAAGTGGTATCATGTGGCATCATCCGGGGTCTTCTCTCACCACTGATGGCACCTCACAGTCAGGCACCACATCTGGGCAGCACATCAAGCATTGGCAGAAGTCTGATCAGCCACATGAAATACCACCATGTTTCCCACTGAAGTGGTACTTATTATCTACTCACAGGTAGCATGCTTTTGAATTACTAAGTGGGCAGAAGCTGAGGCGACTGATAGGAGCTCACTCTGCCAAACAATGCAGAGTGAACTGCTGGAGCAGATACCATTTCTAGTGTCTTTAAGCCACTGAGCCACTGTGCCTTTATAATGTCAAATATTCCAGGGCATGTGGATGGGTCAATGACATCCCAGGAAATAAAGCAATGTCTCTGTTAGAAGCCATATTGTGGATTTCTCCTGCATGATATGAAGCCTTTAATATTAATTAAGTGGTGTAGGTAGGTAGATATATTCTTATAGTAGTAAAAGAACATGAAAATGTCTTCTTAAAATTGCTCTTGGGAATATATGTATTAACAAGGGTAGCAGGGAAAATGAGAAACTGAGCAAAACCTCGAAGAAGTACTACTTCAGGTTTGGATATACTGAAATTGTTAAAAATCAATGGGAGGTAATTTTTAGCAGCATTGACCCTTTTTAGCTCCCATGCAGCCGCATGCCACAGGGGAACTTCATATCACAGAAAACTCTTTTCATATTCACTAGCTCTTGTGTTATTACTATTTGTTGTGAGATAATAATGTTGCATTTTTAAACTTGGATGAACTTACCAGGCATTCATCTTTTTCTGAGCCAGGAAATGTGTTTGTTCAGTGGTCTCTTTTTTCATGACGAATCAGTTTTTTAGGTTGCACTCCTTGACATACGTCCTGTCAGATAGACAGGAAATTAAACACTTTTCTTTCACCTGCAATTTGTTTCCTGAGAGATCTTGCCTCAATAAAATTATAAGAAAATTATTGATTGGGAAACCATAACTTTTCCCCCTAAATGATTCTGTCTCCAATTACCATATACTGTATGCTATTGGACTCATATAATTGAAAAGCTGAGCCTTTATGTTTTTGCAGTCATCCAATGACTCAGTTGTTCCAGATACAGAAAGTAGAATTAAGATTATAAAGGAATTTATGTCCTTGGGAGAAAGGAAGTAGGAATTCATCAGGATTCTGGTAATGTTTTAATTCAGGCTGTGGACTGTCATCAGGAACTGGGCCACACAAGTGAGCAAAGCCCATCCACACATGTGTGGGATCTGGGTAGCACATGGGACCATACCCCTGGTCTGCGGAAAAAACCACCCTTCACAGAACCTGCCCCAGTGCTCAAAATATTGGGGGTCACTGCTTTAGTTCAAACATTCAAACACTAGGTTTTCAAGCAGTCTTATATGCTTGATGAATAGAAAAGAGAATGAAATGTTTCATCATTTAATAATGAACAAAGAACAATCCCCCTGGATATATTTGCCCTGACTAGGTTATCAATATCCCAGTGATCAAAGACAATTAGAACTGGCATGCAGTTTCTCCATTCCTCTCTAGTGAAGGTCATTGCTCAGAACTAATACATATATCTATCTAGCCTTTTGTTTTATTTGTTTATTAATGTCTCTACACTCTATTCAATTTGATCACCCAAGGTCAAAAAATTATGAGAAAAAATGAGA